AACAGTGCAGCCAGCCAGCTCTCTGGTGATTGTCACCTTCAGAGATACTGCACTTGTAGAGTCCTTTGTCAGATGTATCAACATGTTGGATGGTGATGATTCCTGTATGGCTGCTCCTGATGAGGCGGCCATCTTATAGAAATCAGCTGACAGGATGGAGGAAGTGGTCGTCTTGTTTCTGCAGCTCAGAGTCACAGATTCTCCCTCCATCACAGGAAGCACAGGACTCTCCAGGATCACAGAGCCACCTGAACAACATCAGGATCAAACCTTTAGTCTTATCTGTTATTTATAATAAAGAATAGGAGATGATTTAGACAGAGGGAAGAATTGTCATCCTGAAAATACAGTGAATGTAAAATGTGGTATCATCATACACATACTGAATGAAAATATCAGAAATAAACAGAACTACATGATCAATAAATCAGAATTAGATAGTAACATAGAGTAGTGTATCGTCTGCATATTTAAAAAGCTAAGGGTCATTGCACTTCCTGCATATTATGACACACTTGGTCAGAATCAATATGTTTTACAAGTACTGATGTAACATTGAAAAATAGGTGCAGTATATCTGAATTAAAGAGCATTGCAGTTTAAAAAAAGTCTTAATTACTATAAACATACCAGTGACCTTGATGTGACAGAGTTGCTCTTCTCTCCTTTCTCATCCTCGCACCAGTAAACTCCACTGTCTGAATCATAGCCTGGTACCACACACTGGTATTTCCTATCAACATGAGCATGTGAATCTTTAGTAGTTGCTACACCATTGTTTTGCGTAGAGCTCTTCTGAATATGTGCACCCAGCAGAATGATCACTGGATATACAAATAAAGAAAACTGTAAATCAGCCTCATATGTGTTATATAAAAGAATAAATGCAAGTTGAAAGAAAGCTGAGACTCACGCAGTCGGCTGCAGAGCGCTGTGACCTCCATGATGTCTTCCTGCTGTCTGAGCGTCTCACTGTGAGACACAGAAATATGATGTGAGTGAGAACTTCCTCTTCCTGTGCAGAGTGTTCTGAGGCTGGGGTCAGACTCTCTGTGGTTTCAGCTCAGAGCAAAGGTAATGTCATGTTGAAACAGGCCTACCCAAGTTAGAAGCACACTCTTCTCTTATGTATTTTAGCTTTAGCATTCAGAGTCACCTTCTTTGTTGAAGCTCAACATGCAGCTGATCAGCTTCCTGCATTGGGTCAATCTAAGGCTGAGACTCTTCAGATCTCTTGAAGCTGAAGCCTCATCACTCCTCATTGAGTTGTGGGTACATTTGATTGAATACATCTCTTTGATGCTGCTGACTCAGACGTTGTTGATCACATCACGACTTGACTTGTTCAGATGATATTCGCTCCTCCCCAAAGACCTTTTCCCTGACCCAGAGCCCTCTTGAGTCTTTCTCCTCTGCCTCTGTGATGTTCTCGATGGCTCTCTCATGTCAGTGATGCTCTTAGGGCTTTGTAGAGTGACATCAAAGGGCTTACACTTTGCCTTCCAGCTCTGCTTGTGACAGTTTTGACCATCTCTTGGTAATTTGTACTCTTTTAAACCTCATGTTTCCCCAGGCAATACTGCCTTGTGGTACTCCATACTTTAAAGACAACATCATAACAATGTTAATTCTGTGTAAGCAGTGTGTGAATTAAAGTGTATTTTTCCGTCATGTCATAATGCTTTGTGTCTGTTCTACACATCAAGACGTAAAGTTGTCTTTCTCACATGTGAGTCTGGCCTCTAATATTAACCCCACCACTGACACGTATTTCCTTCCATGACACGCGTCTGAGCTACAAGGCGTTTCATTAGTGAGCCACACAGGAAGAGACCACCCCTCTTCTTTTTACATTTCAGTGTGAGGTTCACTCAGTCAGCAGCCAGACGCCATGGAGGCCACAGCGCTCTGCATCACACTGTGTGAGTACTGAGTCTTCATCTGATGTTTTTCATATAAAAGATGATACTAGATCATATTAGCTAAAGGAACATATGGAGGTAGATTTGTGTCAATATTATTTGTGTGAACAGATCACTAACCCGTGTGTAAATGTACAAAAAAGTCTACGTGTGTCACTGCCATTTTGGGATGATTACGTGGTTTCAAGCATTTTCAGAGTATGCAGTCTGAAAAGTAATTGCTGCTTGACGTGCATTTTATAAATTCTTTACACATTTTCCGTAAATATTTCTGTTATTTTACAAATCCTTTTGGAATTTTTGGATGTTTTTGTACATTTACACACGGTTGTTGATCTGTCCAAACACATGATATTGAGGCAAATCTACCTCCATATAAATATATACAAATGATTAACATTTTAAGATGTTTCAAATGTTTTAATTCATGACAAGACGTTATTTTAATGCAGAGGATCTTCTAGGTGAGATCTCTTATAAAATAATATATTTATTTTATGTTTATTATTAAATATTTAAATATATGTATAATAAAGAAGAGCACATATAGATGATATTACTTATTGCTGCTGCATGGCCATTTGCACTATTCTCTTTTGTGCATTTTGTTTTAATGGTGAGTTGTTTTAAAAGTATTATCTATCAAAGATATATTTAAACAATAAAGTCAAGGTAATAAAATCTAATATAAGAAATCTATGTGATATTTGTCTCTTTTCTCTGCAGGGATGATGGTGTTTCTGCAGCTCTGTGAACAGAAAGTTGGTAAGAAGCTTGTTTACCAAAAAGAAAGCAACAACACAATAAAAAATCATAATTTATTTAGTGCTATATATTAATATCAACAACAAATGTATTTCTCAGTTTCAGATGCAGATGTTTGGATCGAACCATCCAGACTTCAAGTCTTTGAATACGAGCCTTCTCTTTAAGATGTGTGGGCTTCGATGGTTTGACTGATGTGAACATTTTACGGTGGAGCAAAGCAGGAAAGGAAACTTGTGATGGCTCAAAATGGGGCTCATTGAATGAGATAAATGCACATTACATCTCTTATAAAGAGGACAGTGGAGATTACTGGTGTGAGGCTGGAGGGAAGAAAAGCGTCTATGTGACGTCATTATCACCGGTATGTTGACATTAACTCAGCACAATCTCTTTCTGTGTGTATGTATGAAATATTAAACACCAAGACAAGTTCCCTGTATATGTGGAAAACAACTTAGCAATAAACCTGATTCTATACAATGTTTGTTAGAAGAACAAAACAAGTGCAATGATGCTAAGGTTATACTATAACTATATAATAAACATATACTTTTTTAGCAAAACATTTCTTTCTATCTTAATATTGTAAATAAACAACAGAATAATCAAGAAAGTGCAATAAAAGCAAACAGCGTGCACAAAGCTGAGCATGGTCATTAAGCAAAGCCTATTGGATTAAGTCAAACAATTGCAAACAAATATGTTTCTAAAATCTAAACCAAATTGTGGTTTTCTCCTGTCTCTGATGTCATTTTAATAATTTTCTAAAAATATATGTAAATAACACACTCAACGTTCAATTCATATTATGAACCTCTATGCAGACGATACACTACTTTACATAACTGTTTCATTTCTGATTTATTCATCAATGTGTTCAGTTTATTTCTGATATTTTGAATTATTCTGGGCATGTTACAACCTGACTTTACATCACAGTATCTTCACAATGCCTTCGTTTAAATTAACAGTTTTTATATTGTAAATAACTCCTACTACAAAACTCAAACTGTTGTTCAGCTGGCTCTGTGATCCTGGAGAGTCCTGTGCTTCCTGTGATGGAGGCAGAATCTGTGACTCTGAGCTGCAGAAACAAGACGACCACTTCCTCCATCCTCTCAGCTGATTTCTATAAAGATGGCCGCCTCATCAGAAGCAGCTCTACAGGAAACATCGCCATCCAAAGAGTTTCTAAATCTGATGAAGGACTCTACAAATGCAGCATCTCTGACGTGGAGAATCACCAGAGAGCCGGATGACTGTCAGAGGTGAGATCATGTAGTTAACATTTGGAGAATATATGTGGAGTTTTTTATTATATATATTCACGTTGTGTTGTGTTTGCAGCTGTTCCCTCCTCGGATCACTCCCTTTACGTCCTCCTCGTCTTAAGGACTGTGTTCACCGTAGTGATGGTGGCTCTGCTGCTGCTGCTGGTGGGACTGCTGCATTGTGGGAAACTCAGGGTCACACAGAAATAACTCAGGCAAAAAGATCAGAGCTAGTTTGGTCATCAAGATAATGAACACCACGAGCCGAGGACATTATCACTTTCTTCAGCGTTGTATCTCTTCTTCTGCTCAGGTTGAGTGTGAGGTGTGTAACTTCTCTGTGCCACATGATGGTACGTGCAGCAGCTGTAGACTTTCTCACACTGAAGACAAAGTTAAAAACCACAGAGATACTGACTGACACATGCATTTATTTTAAAAGGCGAGCTGAGGGTTTGTTGTTCTGAGTTTTATTTTAGACTCCACAGATACTTTCAGCTTCTCAGACACAACCCACAGAACATATTTTTATTTAAATGTATGTGTATATGTAGGAGAGGCTTTTAAGAGGCTTTGTAAACGGACAATGTATATGGTTTTATAGGGTAACTGAAGTGGTAAAAAAACTCACAAATCAATTTACAAATACTAGATTTGTATTTAATATATTGTTGAATTAATTGAAAGGACAAAAAACATATTTGGAAGTGGGAATTTCCCAAAGAAAATGTCAAAGCTGTACATGAGCATCTGAACTTTTCAAAGTAAAATACAATTTGAAATTGTTTATATCTTCATAGCAGAAAATAGAGTGGCGTAGTATAATTGTACAGTATACAATGACAAAATACACGATTCATAAGATCTGTAATGATCGTATATACATTTCAAATCCCAGTAAACTCAAAACCTTTCATTCTGTTAATATATATATATATTATCGCCTTCCATAATAATTTTTTGACAGAAGAAGAAGTGTATTTTTATAAAATATATAAAATAAAGATATGTTCACCACATTTGAAGGAAAACATGTTTTGAATGGTTATTATTATTATTATTGTCTCCATTTTCACACCAATACATTATAAGGTGGCCTATAGCACAGTCCAAGTATCAGCTCCCTCTGTCTAGGCATAACCGAGATATGCCTGTGTCCCTGTACCAACATTATAGGGTCCTCAAAAAAGCTAAATATTTTACATTGTCCAATTCTCTCAATTTTCACACCAATAAATCATAGGGTGGCCTACATAGCACAGTCCAAGTATCAGATCCCTGTGTCAAGGCATTGTTGAGATATGAGCCTGTACATTTCAGATACCTGAGAGCCTGCCGTTATGTATTTGAAGTGCACTGTACACTTCAAATACATTTCTGCACAAAATGATGTCTGTGAAGTGGACAAGTCATACCCCAGCATCAGCTTCATTGTGGGTGTATGACTTGTACACTTCACTGTCCTCATTTTGTGCAGAAAGGTATTTGAAGTTTACAGTACACTGCTCTTCTCTCCTTTTTCATCCTCACAAGAGTGGCCGACCCCTCCCACCCTGGACACAAACTGTTCACCCCCTCTCCTCTGGCAGGAGGCTGCGCTCCATCAGGACCAGAACCTCGCTCCATCAGGACCAGAAACCTCTCTCCATTAGGGCCAAAACTTCTCTCCATCCATCAGGACCAGAACCTCTCTCCATCAGGACCAGAACCTCTCTACATCAGAACCTCTCCCCATTAGGGAAAAACCTCTCTCCATCCATCAGGACCAGAACCTTTCTCCATCAGGACCAACACCTCTCTCCATCAGGACCAGAACCTCTCTCCATCAGGACCAAAACCTCTCTCCATCAGGACCAGAACATCTCTCCATCAGGACCAGAACCTCTCTCCATCACGACCAAAACCTCTCTCCATCCATCAGGACCAGAACCTCTCTCCATCAGGACCAGAACCTCTCTCCATCAGGACCAACACCTCTCTCCATCAGGACCAACACTCTCTCCATCAGGACCAGAACCTCTCTCCATCAGGACCAAAACCATCAGGACCAAAACCTCTCTCCATCAGGACCAAAACCTCTCTCCATCAGGACCAGAACATCTCTCCATCAGGACCAAAACCTCTCTCCATCAGGACCAAAACCTCTCTCCATCAGGACCAGAACATCTCTCCATCAGGACCAAAACCTCTCTCCATCAGGACCAGAACATCTCTCCATCAGGACCAAAACCTCTCTCCATCAGGACCAGAACATCTCTCCATCAGGACCAGAACCTCTCTCCATCACGACCAAAACCTTTCTCCATCAGGACCAGAACCTCTCTCCATCAGGACCAGAACCTCTCTCCATCAGGAGCTATCTGTGTTCTTTTAAAAAAAAAAGTTTTTACTTTTATGTATGGACCATGACACCCTGTTAATAAACCTGACTCTGATTCTGATAAACCCCACTGTCCGGTGCATAAGCTGATTTAATGCTGCAGTTCAGTGTTCATGAATCAATAATATAACAACCCTCAATTAACTGATTGTTATTCCCAAACCCTCTCAGAGCAGAGCCAAGACCCTCGCAGAGAAAAGAGAAGGGCTCGTATTCAAAGAGCTGCAGTCTCTCAGTGACGATGTGCAAAGCTGCGTCTGAAAAACTGAAATAGACACAATAAAACATCTGATATATAAAGAATATAGCAAAATGGATAATCGCTGTATTTGTCTAACACAATGTACGGACACACTGGTATTTCCTATTAACATGAGCATGTGAATCTTTAGTAGTTTCTAGCCACCATCGTTTTGCAAAGAGCTTTTCTGAATATGTGCACCCAACAGCATGATTACACACATCACTAGATTTGCAGATAAAGACAACGTTTTATTAGCAAAAAAATGCTTAGTATTTTTGAAAAATATAAAAGTAAATAGTACTGTCGGCTGCAGAGCGCTGTGACCTCCATGATGTCTTCCTGCTGTCTGAGCGTCTCACTGTGAGCACAGAAATATAATGTGAGTGAGAACTTCCTCTTCCTGTGCAGAGTGTTTCTGAGGCTGGGGTCAGACTCTCTGTGGTTTCAGCTCAGAGATCTGGTGGAAACCTTCAGTTAACATGACTACATAATAATTATAATGTAAATAAAGGTAGTTCAACTGTCTTTAAAGACCAAATCATGTTTTTCTTATTTTTTTGTAATCAGGAGGCATCATGTATACCAAGGGCCTGTAAGTATAGGCCAACCCAGTCTCACATCTAAACGTGTAATAACTACGTTGGTCCACAACTTGGGACGTAGTATTTCTACAAAAACGCCTCTGAAATTGTAGGATCCCTACATTTTTTTTCACCATTCATTTCCAATGGCTGGCGTCTATGTCACGTGATCTTCAACTTTTCTCCGCAGAAATAAATAACATGGCCGACCTTCGTTTTATTCTCATTAGAAAATGCCTATTTTAAGGTTAGTTTGGCCATTAAAATGCGTTTTGATGTCATTTGATGCGAGAAATATGAGTGTATTTCAGATTATGTGTGCAGTGGATGTACATGATCTTTAGTTTGCTAGTTATTATGAAGAATACTTCAGGCAATTGTGTAAATACAACGTTTTCATTGTTACCGAGGTGGTTGCTAGGGACGCTGCTATCGATATTATGTCTGTTATGTTGTGTAACTGTTTAATGGTTATCTTCATTGTTACCCGGCATCTAAAATTGTGGCATTGATACGTTATTTTCCATTATGCTCTCTATATATTGACTTTATTATGCTTGAACAGTGTCTCGGGCTTTGGCTATAGGGCGGCTCAAAGTATTTTGTCCGGCCGTTGTGAAGACTGCTTTGTTTATTGTCCTTGTTTTTGTTTTAAATAAAGCATATTCAATCGAGACATGCCAAACATGTGACGTCATATGACGTGTCGCATCTGCGCACAGGGAGCAGGGAGACCCCGAGATCCGTATTCCCCGTAGTTTTTAAATAAAGAGATT